GAAACAACTGCTCTGGGTTCCTGTTTCATTCTGAGGCGGGCCGAGGGCTCTCAGCCCATTTGTGGAGGGGAGATGATGGACACCCCTTGCGTCCAAGGGGCTTTGAGCTGGCTCAGGCTGTGATAGAGGGGAGCTCCGGTCCACCGAAGAGCCCTATAAGAGCACCGGCCCAATCCTTAAGCCCCAAACCTCCGCTGCACCAAAGGCTAATCAATGAAAAACCAAACCAAACCAAAACTCTAGAGACACACGCAGGGGAAATGTTCTGCATTCCTAAAGGGGTGCTCCGCCCCGCCTGGGCCCCCAGCAGTGCAACCCTGCGGCTTCCCTTGCTGCCGCACTGTTTTGTGAACTCCTGTCTTGGGAACAGCGATGTCTGCTGTCCCCACTTCCGGGCTTCCCCTTCCCCAGCTACCGCCTCGTCCTGGGGCGCCCCTGCGCCTGCCGAGGCTCGACCCCGCGCTTCTGCGTGCAGCTCCGGCTCCACTTTCACTTTCGGTCCCGGGGCGGCCAAGGCAGGCAGCAGCGGTGTGGTCCCCGAGTCCCAGGTACAGCGCTACCGTCCCCAGTGCACCCCGCGGGGAGGGGGCTGCGTGGTTGGGGAAGGGCGGGGCCCAGGCATCCTCCCTGTGCTGGGGAGGCCTGGGGTCCGGGGCTCGGGGAGGAAGAGAACCAGGGGGCTGCAAAGTGGGGCTGGGGGGAGTCGTGGGGCTGGGGATCGTGTCCGTGGGGAGGGCGGCGGGGTTGGCGCGGACCCAGTCCTGCTCGCGTCCTTGTCCCTCTTTTCCACTGGGAGATGGACAAGGGCGCAGGGCTGGTGCGTCTGCTCCACGCGCTCCCCGGGCTGTGCCACTTCCCGGCCGGCAGGCGGGAGCCTCCTTCTGCGCTCCTCCTGGAGGCTGGGTTCCTGCTCGCCGCGTCCACCGGACTGCCGAGTAGGGCCAAGTGAACTGGTGGGTGGATTGTGGGGCTAGGCCGAGGAGGGCGCCTTGCAGATAATAGTCAGAGAAACGTACGTGGCTTTGGTTACTTGCAGGCGCGGGGGTGTCCTGGGAACAAGAGTTAAGTGTCCTCAAGATCAGTTCTCTCCCTTCTCCTGTACTTGTTGCCAGTAGTTGTCTGTCCTCACTTCTCTCTGGCTCAGCCTGGGTTTGTCGAGTTAAAACACTACTGTTTGAGCAAATTAAAATTCCCTCTCTGGGTGTCTTACACGCCTGGTGGGCCTGCAAGTTAATTTCATGAGGAAGGAGAAGTGCAGACACTTCCTTAGCTTTTTCATGGAGGTTCTTTGTGAGGCCAGGTTCAGAAAGAAATGCTCTGTTTTCTACTGAATCCCCAGAGTGTTTGCTCTCAATTCGGGATGTGGTCGACAACTTAAAAAACAAACAAACCCAAAACTTAAAAAAATTGGCCAGGGTTGTCTCTTTTTCCACAGAGTTGGGATTGTACTGATATGTAGCACATTTTCAGGTGGGCCTAAATAGAGAAATTCTAATATGTTAAAAAATTGAACTGATTAAACATTGTTTACCGGCAGTGACAAGCTGTTAGCAGTGCTTGTTAATTTCGTTGTTCAGAGCATTTTGGAAGAAGGTCCATTACCTCTTGGTGATGGATTTCACATTCCATAGTGTCCCAATGAAGGGAAGTATGAGATAGCCCAGGACCAGTTGCCCCTGGCTTCCTGTGTAAGTGGGAAAAGTCAGAATCACCAAAGGCAGTAAGGTTCCTCAAGTATCTTAAACTCTTTCTGGCTGTGGAGTAAAGTTAGGTACTCTCTTACTGCTGCACTTTTATCCACAACATTGTGAAAGAAGCTTTAGTGAGATCAGGTGCCAAAGGAAGATACCTTTTAAAACTTTAAAGGAGTACAGTCAAGTACAGGAAATTCCTTTAAAACCCTTATCTCCGTGCCCTCAATCTGTGTATATTTAACTGCCTCCTTGATAAATCCCCTTGGATATCTCATAGACAGCACAAATTAAACATATTAAAAAACGAGCCCGTCATCCCCTCTTCTGCCTTTTAAATCTCTTCCACCTCTGGCCTCCGTTTCAATAAAGGGCACCTGTGACTACCCAGAAGTTCACTGTAGAAACCTGGCAGCCATCCTCATACATCCTGTCCTTTCCCTCACTCCCTACTTCTAATCTACCCTAAATATAGATGTTGAATCCATCCATCTCTCTGTCTCCACCCCGCCCCCCCCCCCCCCCTCCATCCGAGTGTGAACCACTCTCTTATTTTGTCTACACTACTTTCTAACTGGTCTCTTGGCCTTCACTCTTACTTCTTTCCAGTCTTCCACTCTCCACACAGCAACAAGGGTGATTTTCTTTAGGTGTGAACTGGATCCTAGCTAGATCTCCTAGCTCAAATCCCAGTGGTTTCTCATTGCCCTTAGGATAGGATCCAAAATCCTTAAGATGCCTAGAAGGTGTGTGGTGGTCTGGCCCCTGCCCACCTCTCCAGGTGCATCTTTCTGCCACATGCTGGGCTGCAGCTTCACTGACTTTATAAATAACTAGCACTCTCTACTGCCCCTGAGCTTGCAAGTATGTGTGCTGTTCCCTCTGTTTGCAAAACTCTCTCTCCCTCTTTCCTCAGCTAACTTGAATTTGTCCTTTAAATCTCAGCTAAACATCTCAGAGAGCCCCCAGTGTACATCAGTCCACCCTGTTACTGTCTTTCAGTATGTGTGTTGCTTTTTTCTTCATAGCTAATCATGGTTGGTAACTATCTATGTTTGTATTTGTGTAAACTGTTTAAAAGTCACCCCACCCCCACTATATGCTCTCTGAGGTCAGGGACCTGTGCTGTCTTGCACTGCCCCGCAAAACCCTCGCACATAATAGACCCTCAATAAATATCTGTGGAATGAGTAATTGAACATATTTTAACTTAATTTTCACAACAGTCCTGTGAGAGAGGTGTTATCTCGTTTTACACGCGAAGAAAATGGAACCAGGGTTCAACAACCTGCCCAAGGTCACAGTAGGTGTCAGAGCAAGAACTCAAAGCCAGATTTTCTTTTCTGACTGTAAACCTAATATATATATTGTTGATGTAGCAATAATTATATATGTATGTATGAATTCCAACATTTATGCTGTCTATATCACATGTTCCATTTTGGTTTCCTGGCACTGCATCCTCTCTGAGACACAGCCATTATCTCTTTGGCTTCCTCCTCTCTTGGACCCAACACTGCAAGGCCTTTGCTATGAGGTGCCACCGCCAACCCCTTCAGCAGCCCGTGGGCCTTGCCGTCGGCTCAGAACCAGTTGGAATTTTTAGATCTCTTCTTGGGCTGTTGGAGAGCCCTTGAGGACTCCCAGAGCCCTTGCATACCTGAACCTGCCACCTTCACTGTGCTCTCTGCCATCTTGGGGGTGCAGGCCACACCCACTAAGCTGTTGCCATCAGAAGTTCCAACTGGAAGCATCACACAAGTTCTTTTTACCTCTGGCCCCTCAACTTCAAGGGAGATCCATCATTCTGCCCTGGCATTTTGCCTGAGGAGGTAGGGGCAGGAACTCCTTACTATTTTGGTGTTTAAACTTTATTCTTCTCTTCCAAATCACTCCAGTCCTCCATGGCTGGAAGCATCCTTTAGTTGGTTCGTAGACAACAACAACAACAACAAAAACCCCCAAGAAACACAAAAGCAGAAACCCCTGTTCTTCCTGTTCACATTTCTTTTCTGTCTCATTTGGGTGGTGCCTTTTGAGCTGGGATGATGGTGTCTCCATTGTCGACTGTCTCTACGGTGCTTGCATCCTTTCTGTTTATTTAGCCTGCAGATCTACTCCGTGGGGAAGCGAGAGGTCAGTACTTGGAGCTGTGTGCTTCGGAAGGGAGCAGAATGGAGAGTGAAGGGTGGGGATAGCACATTAGCCATTCCCCTGAAGTAGTGTTCCCCACACAGAGATCAAGGGATAAGACCATGGCTTGGCAAGGATTATCTAGGAGGTTCCTCAGTCTGGCTCTTCAATAGAATTTCGGGGAGGTTTAAAAAAAATGATGATGCCCTAACCTAGGGATCCAGGCATCAGTCATTATTTTTTCTGTTGTTTTTTTTTTTGTTGTTTGTGGTACGCGGGCCTCTCACTGTTGTGGCCTCTCCCGTTGCGGAGCACAGGCTCCGGACACACAGGCCCAGTGGCCATAGCCCACAAGCCCAGCCGCTCCGCGGCACGTGGGATCCTCCCAGACCGGGGCACGAACCCGTGTCCCCCGCATCGGCAGGCGGACTCTCAACCACTGTGCCACCAGGGAAGCCCCAGTCATTATTTTAAGAGCTTCCTAAATGACGTTAATATGCAGCCAAAGTTGAGAACCGCCAACATAGAGGAAGAATCCAGTGTACCACCATCATTTCAATAACCTGAGCTCACCTGACAGGAGCCCCTTCTGGCCAACTGCTATTAGAGAGGCAGCTTTGTCTAAGAGAGAGAAAAAAGCATGCTTGGTTCTCTGGCCATGGGTTGCCAACTCCCTTAAAATTCGCATTTCTTTTATGTCCCGTGGCCTTAATAAAGTGCAAAATATGGTCTGCATCATGCCTCCTGGTGTGCTTTGAGTGTAACCTTAGAGTCACCCCCCTCCTTGCCTTGTGAATAATGATTCTCCAGCAAGTTCTCCTGGGGTTCGCTTCTGTCCACATGGATTGCCCGAACAGCCCTATCCTTTCTCCCTTTGTGCTGTAGCTCCTGCTCTGGCTTGCTCCACCTGCAGTGCCTCTGATACCCTCCCTTCACTTCCAAATCTGACCCGTCCTTCCAGACCACTCCCAATGCTGCTCTTGCATAAAGGCATCTCAGCATTACTCTGCAGCCAAAGTCACTCTCTCCCTTTGGAAATACCATTCCATTCTCCCTCAGCACTCTTTTCTTCTTCCTATTTTTTTTTGCATTTTCTTTTTGGCCACAGTATGCAGCATGTGGGATCTTAGTTCCCTGACCAGGGATCAAACCCATGCTCCCTGCAGTGGAAACGTGGAGTCTTAACCACTGGATTGCCGGGGAAGTTCGTATTATTATTTTTAAAGCACTCCACACTCTGTTGTGTTTTACTCTTTGTGTATATATGTTTTCTGCCCTTCCAGATTTTGAAGTCCTTGATTATGGGATTTGTGTCTTGTATCTTCTTATATCCCACACGGTACTCAGCACACAGCCTTGTAGGTAGCAGGCATGCAACACATATTTGTTGGATAGAGTGTAAGAGAGAAACCAGGGGATTGTCACAGACTATCATGAAAAGTCACTCTAAAGTCTTCCCTGGCTAAATAGATACTAAATCAGCTTTTGGCAGGACAGTTTGACAAAGATGCCAGTGTTATGAAGGCTTACTGTTACAAACACTTGCCTTCCCCCCCGCCACTTGCTACTGAGCCTATATGTTTCCTTCCTATACTTCCTGTGTTTTAAGAACTCTCTGCGTTGTAAGCTTAGTGGGAAGCAAGGCCTTTTATTTTAAGAGCTTCCTAAATGACGTTAATATGCAGCCAAAGTTGAGAACCGCCAACATAGAGGAAGAATCCAGTGTACCACCATCATTTCAATAACCTGAGCTCACCTGACAGGAGCCCCTTCTGGCCAACTGCTATTAGAGAGGCAGCTTTGTCTAAGAGAGAGAAAAAAGCATGCTTGGTTCTCTGGCCATGGGTTGCCAACTCCCTTAAAATTCGCATTTCTTTTATGTCCCGTGGCCTTAATAAAGTGCAAAATATGGTCTGCATCATGCCTCCTGGTGTGCTTTGAGTGTAACCTTAGAGTCACCCCCCTCCTTGCCTTGTGAATAATGATTCTCCAGCAAGTTCTCCTGGGGTTCGCTTCTGTCCACATGGATTGCCCGAACAGCCCTATCCTTTCTCCCTTTGTGCTGTAGCTCCTGCTCTGGCTTGCTCCACCTGCAGTGCCTCTGATACCCTCCCTTCACTTCCAAATCTGACCCGTCCTTCCAGACCACTCCCAATGCTGCTCTTGCATAAAGGCATCTCAGCATTACTCTGCAGCCAAAGTCACTCTCTCCCTTTGGAAATACCATTCCATTCTCCCTCAGCACTCTTTTCTTCTTCCTATTTTTTTTTGCATTTTCTTTTTGGCCACAGTATGCAGCATGTGGGATCTTAGTTCCCTGACCAGGGATCAAACCCATGCTCCCTGCAGTGGAAACGTGGAGTCTTAACCACTGGATTGCCGGGGAAGTTCGTATTATTATTTTTAAAGCACTCCACACTCTGTTGTGTTTTACTCTTTGTGTATATATGTTTTCTGCCCTTCCAGATTTTGAAGTCCTTGATTATGGGATTTGTGTCTTGTATCTTCTTATATCCCACACGGTACTCAGCACACAGCCTTGTAGGTAGCAGGCATGCAACACATATTTGTTGGATAGAGTGTAAGAGAGAAACCAGGGGATTGTCACAGACTATCATGAAAAGTCACTCTAAAGTCTTCCCTGGCTAAATAGATACTAAATCAGCTTTTGGCAGGACAGTTTGACAAAGATGCCAGTGTTATGAAGGCTTACTGTTACAAACACTTGCCTTCCCCCCCGCCACTTGCTACTGAGCCTATATGTTTCCTTCCTATACTTCCTGTGTTTTAAGAACTCTCTGCGTTGTAAGCTTAGTGGGAAGCAAGGCCTTTCTCCCGCTGAGGAAGCTGTAAGCCCAGATTCTTGCTCTCTCCACCTCCCAGCCTGGTAGTGTGGACACCTCGCTTCTGCTGAAACAACAAAACGTTGCAGGGGCAGTGGAGACCTCACTCTACTGGTGGCCGCAGGGGTGTCAGAATCTAATCTCTAGGCCGTAGGGTGGCTTCTTCTAAGGTCCAGTGTGGGTAGGGGGTGGTCACCTGATCAGGTGTTTCTCTGATGTGGTTCTGGCTGCCCATTTTTGCCTGTTTTATGAGCCTGGTTTCCCAAATGACCTGGCAACCCTGTGACCCATTTAGTGAGCTACTCAGGATCCTCAGCCAGAGCTTGTTCTTACTTTCAACAGAGAACCCTGACTGATGAGAGTTAATTTAAACTTTGAATGCCAAATGAGGCTTTTCAGTAGGCGTTAATGATTGTTGCTGACCATAAACTTCTTTCTTCTTATGAATCATTAACACAGGGAAGGTAATTTTACTTTCAGGAAAAGACCTAGTACTTTTGAAAGTTTGTATCTGTAACTGTTCATTCTGGATGGATACATTCTGAAATTATGCTGTCTTGATAATATTTTAGTGACTCTTTTTTTTTTTTTCTTTTACACATTTGTGCCACTAGGCAGTTCAAGCAAGATGATACCTCTGTCCATCAAACGGCCCCTTGTGACCACGTCCTTTCTGCTTTCATCACTGTTGATGCTCTTAACTGTGGCAACTCCATCCTGGTGGCAGAGCAGTGAAACAACATCTCCAAAGGCTAGTAACAGGGCACCATTTCCTTGGAATAAAATGCGACTTCCTGAGCACATCATCCCACTTCATTACGATCTCATGATTCATGCCAACCTCACCACTCTGACCTTCGGGGGAACCACGGAAATAGAAATCACAGCCAGCAAGCCCACCAGTACCATCATCCTGCATAGTCACCACCTGCAAATACCTAAGGCCGCCCTGAGGAAGGGAGCTGGTGAGAGGCAGTCTGAAGAGCCGCTGAGAGTCCTGGAATACCCGCCTCAGGAGCAAATCGCACTCCTGGCTCCTGAGCCCCTGGTGGTTGGGCTCCCATACACCATTGTCATTGACTATGCTGGCAATCTTTCTGAGAGTTTCCATGGATTTTATAAAAGCACCTACAGAACCAAGGAAGGGGAAGTGAGGTATTTTTGTGTGTGTGTGTCTCTCTCTCTCTCTTTTTTTAAAAGGTTCAACTGCTACCCACACTAAATTTATTACTTCACGTGGATTGTCTTTTAAAATTCCCTTGATTGTTGAATTCTTTCTTTGGTTTTGTTTTGCATCTCTTTGTAGATTTAAAAATGGCTCATAGTTTTTTCCCTGTTTTTTGGGATCTCCTTTTTCATTCTGTTTTAACCAGTTTTCTTTCCTCCAGCTCTATCAGAGGGAATACCTATTTGTTTATTTAATTAGATTTCTGGCATATAATAAATACTTTAAATTCTCTTGGCCTATGTACTAGTTTCCAAGGGTTGCTTTAACAAAGTACATAAACTGGGTGGCATAAAACAATAGAAGTTTTTTCTCTCACAGTTCTGGAGGCTGGAAGACCAAAATCAAGGTGTCAGGAGGCCTATGCTCTCTCTAAGTCTCTGAGCCCCTCTTTGCCTCTTCCTAGCTTGTGGTGCCATCAGTCTTTGACATTCCTTGGCTTTGCAGCTACATCAGTCCAGTCTCTGCCTGCCTGTCACATGGCCATTCTCCAAATTGCCCTCTTCTTATAAGGACACCAATTCTGTTGGATTAGGGCCCAACCTGATGGCCTCATCTGAACTTGATTACATCTGTAAAGACCCTATTTCTATATAAAGTTACACACATATTAGGTAATAAGACTTCAATGTATCTTTTTAGGGGACACAATTCAACCCATACAGCCAATTAGAGGAAATATTAATATTTTTGTCTCAGTTAAAACTTTTTTGGGATCCTCTCCTGCCTTGCTTTAGTTCTGTTTTTAATAAGATATTTTGGGAGATTTTATGCTAAATTTTTTTTTTTTTTTTTTTTTTTTTTTTTTTTTTTTCTTGCGTTATGCGGGCCTCTCACTGTTGTGGCCTCTCCCATTTGCGGAGCACAGGCTCCGGACGCGCAGGCTCAGCGGCCATGGCTCACGGGCCCAGCCGCTCCGCGGCATGTGGGATCTTCCCGAAACGGGGCACGAACCCGCGTCTCCTGCATCGGCAGGCGGACTCTCAAGCACTGCGCCACCAGGGAAGCCCTATGCTAAATTTTAAAATCAAATTTCATTTGTTAGTAGATTATACTAACTTACTTTTGGATTTCATATTTTTTTTTGAGGTAAAAAAGGTCAGATACTACCAAAAAGAATTTTTTTTTTTTGTGGTACGCGGGCCTCTCACTGCTGTGGCCTCTCCCATTGCAGAGCACAGGCTCTGGACGCGCAGGCTCAGCGGCCATGGCTCACGGGCCCAGCCGCTCCGCGGCATGTGGGATCTTCCCGGACCGGGGCACGAACCTGCGTCCCCTGCATCGGCAGGCGGACTCTCAATCACTGCGCCACCAGGGAAGCCCCCAAAAAGAATTTTTAAAAAAGTAAAATGTACCCTCATTATAGCCTCTAGAGATAACTACTGCTTCTATTTCAGGGGAATATCCTTTAGACTTTTTTCTGGAATATGCATACACATTATTTTATGTAAATGGAGCCATGTTATATTTTCTGTTTCAAGAGGGAGTTTTTTAATATGTTGAGGAGATGTATTTTACACGGATGACTATCCCTATACATCATTTTAACGACTTTATTAAAATGTATGTTTGTGTGTTGGTTTATTTAACTAATCCCCGATGGATGGAAATTAGGTTGTTTCCAACTTTTTGGCATCAGCAATAATTTGACAAGCATCTTCGTAAATCATTTCTTCACAATAAATGCCCAGAAGTAAAATTGCTAAGTCAAAGGGTCAATAAACTTTTGATATCCCTTGCCATATTCCTCACTAATACTGTATATTGGCGATCCTTTTTTTATTTTTTTAAATTTATTTTATTTTATTTTTTTAATGGTATAAGGATTACTTTATTCTTATTTTTTTAAACATCTTTATTGGGTATAATTGCTTTACAATGGTGTGTTAGTTTCTGCTTCATAACAGAGTGAATCAGTTATACATATACATATGTTCCCATATCTCTTCCCTCTTTGTCTCCCTCCCTCCCACCCTCCCTATCCCACCCCTCCAG